GCTTTGGGCTTTTTACTGTCTTCCTTGAGAAATGGAGTTTCTGCAGGCGATGACAATGTTGCAAAAAAGACTAAAAACTCCTTCTTCAGAGGCCTGGGCTTTCTGGTGTTGGAGGGAGAGGGATAAGAGGCTCAGAGATTGTAAGAGAACTTTTACAAAGCAAGCTGCTGCATGTTTATTATTATAGTATTATATTATTATGCTTTATGTAATTTACTATGTAGATCATCATAAATATTAAAATAATAATGTAATAGATAAAAAATTGTGTAAGGAATGTGTAAGAAAAAGTCTCTTGTACCTTTTTCTGAGGGGGAAAACCAAATAGATAATCCCGTGTGATTGTGTATGTTAGGATTTTAAAAGCTTCTAGACTGGATTTTACAGCCACATGTGATGGAACGTACCGATGGGCCAACCTGGGAAATGCCGGTGAAAATGGCACTGGGCAGCCCCTCGTCCCAGCACTCCACAGGTTGAAAGAGAGGAGATTAACAAGAGCTGCAGAGGAGCCACCACCGCACCTGCCCATGCAAAAGGGCTGGCCCTAAAGAAGGTAGTGGCTCTTTCCAGAGGACAATGTATATAGAGGGGGGTTAGGGATATAGAGGGGGGTTAGGTACACAGTTCAAAATAAGGATGAAGTTTTGAAAGAGACTGTAATGGGAAAGAAAATTCTGCCACTTTATTGCAGACAGTGTTTTCACCTCGGTACCAGGAGCCACAGAGAGGGAGCCAGGTGTGAACATTGGCAGCACCTTCTGTGGCTGCAGCTTGGCTTTACCTGGCATTTTCTCCTCCACGGTGTATGTGGACAGAAAGACACAGAAATTGGTGAAACAATACAGCAGCTCCCAAGCCAGGCTCTAATCAGCAGCCCGGGGTTCTTGTTCTGCAAGACAGCGTCCTGTGGAGTGACAGGGCACAGAGTCAGTGCTGTGAAGGAGTGCTAGGAAGCAATGCTCAGACGTCGAGGCTCCCTGCAGGGTGGCGGTGCACGCCATCCTCCGTGGCAGGACCACAATTCCCACCCAACAGGTGGTTTTGGCAACACCCTCGGGAGCGGAGCCCCGAACGGAGGGGCGGGACAGGACGGGACAGTTGCCGGGCAGAGGCGGCAGTGACCCCGGGAACGATCATGCCCTTCTGGCATCCCCGTGGCGTGCCCAGCCCCTTTCTATTTAGAGCGGGCCGGCAGCGCGGTGGCGGCAGCAGCGGGACAGGGCGAGGGTGAGCGGAGCTCGGGGGGTGCGAGCGGGCGTCTGCCAGCAGGATGCGACCCCGTTGAAGACCGGAGGCGGGCACGGCTCTGGCGAGCGGCCGGAGGTGTCCCGGAGCCTGGGGACGGGCTGGGCACGGCGGCACCCCCGGGGAGCCGCGTCCGGCCAGCGGAGCGGGATCGGCTGCGGCACAAGCCAAGACCCGAAGGGAGAGCGGGCGGGAGGGCAGCGCGGCGACCGGGCGGCGGCGGCTGAGTCGGGGATGTTGGCGGGGAATCCGACCTCATCCTCTGGGTGGGTGGGAGCGGCGGCCCTTCCCTGCGCCAGCGGGCGGGAGCGGCCGCCCCGAGCCGGGGCGGGCGCGGAGGGGCCGCCGCTCCGGCAGCTCATGGCCTCGGTGCCCGGCACTAACGCCCTCCGTGCCTGCCGTCCCGGCAGGTGCCTCTGCACACCCCACACCTCCCCGCTCCCTGGGCCCTGCGCTGAGCCAGACCAGCTGCACCGTCGTGTCCTGACCGAAGGCTCCTGGGATGTCACGCCGCAGGCACCAACCCGAGCCTGGCGACCTGATCGAGATCAAGCGATCAGTTTACCAGCACTGGGCCCTCTACTTGGGGGATGGATATGTCGTCAACGTGGTGTCCGCAAGTAAGCCTGGTGCAGCCTGTCAGGGTGCAGAGGGGGTGCTGTGGTGCCCCAGGAGCCCTGTCTCCCTCTTTGAGCTGGTGGTGGACCGACCCTGTGTGTGGAGATGGCCTTTCAAAGAGCAGCCAGAAAGCCATCTGAGCTTTTGAAGAGACATGACAGGTTCTGCCTGGCTTATCTCCTTCCTGTTTTCCCCAGATGAATGGATCCCATCCCCGTTAGCTGAGATGGTGACAATATTGACCAAAAAGGCCAAGGTGAAGAAGCAGCTTCTGAAGGAGGTGGTGGGAAATAATGATTGGAAGGTCAATAAGAAGTATGATTGCTCCTACACTCCCCTCCCGGTGAAGGAGATCATCAAGCGTGCTGAGAGCTACATTGACAGGGAAGTGACCTATGATTTGCTTGACAAAAACTGTGAGCACTTTGTGACATGGCTCCGCTACGGCGAGAGTGTCTCTGACCAGGTAAGTAACATGAGATAAGCCCCTGTGTGCCTCACACAGCACCTTCTTGCTGCTCCCTGTGAGCCCCTAGACAGGGACACAGCCCACAGACTGTCTGGGGACAGTCAAGTCCCAGGTGTGGGGTCCAAACCTCTGCTGCCTCTGGCCTCACCAGAGACCTTGGAGCAGGAGGATCACTGTGGTCTGTCTGCACCCTGACAGTGCCCTCTTACTGAATGCCACAACCTAAGGGTAAAAACTTGGGTGTTACCCCTTCTGCTTATGAAGCAGATGTCTCTCATTCTTTTAATTGCCCTGATTACCCCTGCCTGCTTTTCCTTAACATGCCTGGGGGTAAATATAATTGCTTCTTTTGTTTCCAGCCTGTGTTTTCCTTTCCCTTTACAGGTCAGGAGAGCAATTCGAGTTTGGACCCCTTTCGCTAGTAAAGTGGTCACTTTTTTAGCTGCCAGTAGCGTGGCTGTGGCTGCTCCTCCTGCTGGTCCTGTTGTTGCTGCTGCTGGTACTGCTTTGGCTGACAGAGTTCTGAAGGCCAAGTTGTCGAAGGCAAGCAGGAAAAAGAGACAGAGCTACTGATGGGCCATTTGAAACACCTTCGAGCAAGGCAGAGAGCCCCAGGCTATGGGTGGTCAGGCCCCAGTATTTGCCACACCTGATACCAAAGACTACCAGCAACTTTGCTGCCCTTCCTGAGATAATTGATAATTACAAGAAAATCTAAACAAACTCATGTTGACCTAAATTCCTCTTCTATCTTTTGAGTATAGTCTTGGGTGCAAGTGCAACAATGCAGCCTTGCTTCTCTCTTCCGTTTCATTAAGAAATAACAAGTCAAGAGTGGAAGGTGATTGCCAGCAGCACTAGCCTGTTTGCCGCATTTGCTTTTATTTCATTGCCTGCGATGATTTTTGTGGCAGTCTGGGAGCACTTGAAGGCAAATTATCCGTTCCTTCCCTCCATGTTGCCTCCAGTGTTTTGCTGAGGACTAGTGCAGGCTTTCTATCCAACCATCCTGCTTTTATCAGCTACAGGATGGGGGCTATTTCTGTGAATATCTGATTTTAACCTTACCTTCCTGGAAAAGTAAAGTAAAAGTATTGGTGAGGCTTTACAGTGTGTCCTTCAGCTGAGGGCCTGTGTAAATGGAAAACTACCAGTTCCCAGGCCTGCAAAAGGGCAAGCAAGGCATGTGCAGTGTCTTGGAGCCTGTGCTGCCTGTGGGATCTAAACTGAGCTGCTCCTGGGAGGATGGGAGGTAGGTAGGAAAGGCAGGTCTTGTAGGCTGTATCCCTCAGTGTTTTCAAGCAGTGATCTGATTTGGACAGGATGGTGTTCTGTTCATCAAAGCGTCCCTTTCCCCGGCTCCTCTGACTCCCTTTGGGAGCAGCAGACCCCCAAATCTGGGAAGGTCTGACAAAAAACCCAGCTGGATCCTTCTCAGACAGCTGTTTGTTCCACTGTGCCATCACACTTTCCCTCTTCACCTCTATAGGCCCAGTGATTGTTGGCATTAGGCCTGAGCAAGCTTTCTAGATGATTTTTAAGGTCCCTTCCAACCAACCCATTCTGTGGTTCTACTCTTTGGGCTGCCAAAACATTGGAGCTTAGAGAAAGACCACTGGAGGTGGCAAGGGCAGCCAGGAGCCTTTGTCCCCCAGATCTGGGACCACTGCCTCTTCAGTGACCACAAGTGGATTTTAAGCAGTTCATAGTCAGCACATCAGTCTTTTCCCCAGCCAGCAGAAAGGCAAAGCCGGGGGCCCTGCAGTGCTGGGGGTGATATCAGTGCAGAATGAGCTGTGAGGCACCTATTACTCATCTCCCAATGTCCTGAGCCCTGCTATTTCCTTGTCACAAAGCTGATGTGTGAATTATCTGAGAAGAAAACTGTTTGGAAAAGTCTGGTTTGCTTCTCTTTACTTGGAGTATCTGGCTTAAGTGTTTGGAAGCCTGTTCCCTGTGACCCACCTGCAAGAAAGACTCCTGTGTTGGTTTTATTTCAGGCAAGTGCCTGGCCTGTCAGGAGAGATGAGAGCAAAACAGTTGTCTCTAAGAGGCTTGCTGGTTTTGTCTGCTCTTCACATCTTGGCGACGTTTAATCCCAGCCAACAACTAAGGACCAGAGAGCCACTTGCTCACTCT